TGATGTCTGACTTCAAAGTTCTTTTAATTATAGTTTGCTAAAACTTATGTCTTCAGAATGTTCTAAGTGGAACAATCTCTTAAGGCCTATTAACAATCTATTACTTTTTTATTATATCTGGAATCTATGGATTTTGATTTTTTGATCATTCAATTAACATATCCCATGATGACATTTGAAGAATGTCTGAAAGTCATGCATAGGTAGATATGCCAGATTTCCAGTCTAAAACATCTTTTGTAATAGGCATGTTGTAATATTTGCGGGGGGGGGGGGCTAACAGTACATAATTTGCTGATATGTTTCAAATTAAAGAGATTAAACTAACAAGCTGACCATAGAACTGAGGCATACAATAAAGGAGTGAGTGGGAGGGAGGCAAAACAGGGGAGAGAGGAACACAAAGGAATATGGTGATGGTTCACAGGCAATACAGTGGCAGGAGAAACATGGGGGCCACAATGATATAAGAAAAAAAATAATCAATGAAACAATAAAAATGTTAAATTTTGTGAATCCCTTGATCTTTAAGAATTTCTTATTGTTATGCCAGCTAAAATAGAAATACTTTCAAACACAGGTAGAAATAAAAAGATGCTATCCAACCATAATTATTTCTGCCAATGACCAAAGGATAATTACTAGAAGGGAATGTTTAACAAAAAAAAGTGACAAAGATCAGAACCAGTGGGGATTTAATTCTTCCTGTAGACTATGCAGAAATCTTTCCTGTGAAAATGTTATAACTTCTACTCATTGCTTTATGAGAATTCTATATTTGTTCAAAAAATTTTGAAGAAAAGGGATTAATTTGTCCTGGATTACTGTTACTAATATGGATCAGGCATTATAAAAGACATAATTTTATAGAGTGAACAAATCAGACATGGTAGTCTTCAATATAGGGTATGTTAAAGTAAAAAGAAGAGAAAAAATATGTAAAGAGGTCAAATTTTGATTACATGGGAAAACAACACAAATGTTATCTCTTAGCATCTTATTTTAGGATCAAAAATTATGTTAAGTATTAAAATGTATCCAGGAAATAAGTAGTATGTGTCATATTTTTCTATTTGATCACCCATAATTCTTTCTCAGTTCTAGTTCTAGCCATATTTTTGTGTCCATTCATTTATTGACATAGACTGAATATTTTTGAAATAAATTTTAAGATGATAAGAGTGCTTTTTATAAGAGTATAGTTTTTCTTGCTTAACAAGAAATCTTTGATCTCAAGACCATCAGAGATTTATAAATTTATTTTATACATTATTTGTTGCCAAATTGGCAAATATTTAAAGCAATAACACCCAGAATTGGCAACATGTGACAGGCATTTTTCTACAATTGCAGTGGGGGTATAATTTTTCAATCTTAATAAAAGAACAATAACATATACCAGAATATACTTTGAGCTAAGAGGTTATACCTACTATATCCAAAAATTTTAGGCATTTAGCAGTGGGGATTTGTGCTTGTTTCAAGTTAGGGCACCAATTTTCTGATTGCTATGACAAGTGCACTATAATTGTCTAGTATTTCATAGCTTTGCTGCATTGTGGTACTTGGTAAGTGTCAACTTGGCTATGTTGAACTACTTTCCCAGAATACACTTTTTGTATGTTTCCAGTTAGTGTGGGCCACATGAATCCTGGTTTTGCCTTCAGTCTGGCTGACAGACAGGATACCAATCTCCAGGCCTCTAAGTGAGGCCTTCCTGGACCATCTAGTCTCCAGCTAACAACCTAACAACCGCCTGTCATAGATACTTGAATATACCCTTAGGGAACAGCAGAGGCAGTGCAGACCAATCCATATCATTATGAGCTAAATAAATGTTTTTTTTTAAAAAATTATTATTATTTAAACTATAGACGTTTGGGGTAATTTGTTATCCAGGAATAGCAAACTGATATAAAAAAGAATGAACATAAAGAGAAAGGTACAGGTTGGAATACTACGATTTGGATTTATTTTTGGCACAAACATGAGTTAAATCCCTAGATCAAGTGAATAAATAGCAGATTTCTCAGGCCAAAAAAAGTAGAGTCTTGATTAAATTTTTAAGTGTGATGAAAGTAATTAGATGAAGGGGATCAGCTGGAATATAGGCAGGCATCTAGTGTTTCTATGTGAGCTTATATACGAAAGTTAATTTCTTCCAAGTTGAAGACTCATACAAACATGTTTTAAAAGATGTTATACAATTCAGTTGTAAAGGTATTCATACATTTATCATGATAAATGTTTTCAAATTATTTTATTAAATAACATGTTGAGTAACACAGAATTGGTGATAATCTATTCAACTGCTATATCATATGAAGTACTATCACACTTAATGACATATGTCTCATAGAGTCTTAGGTTTTGACCATTTAACTGATTGGTATTTCTTTTTATTTTTTATATTTTGTAACTAACATTCATGTATACATGTAGACCTGTGTTTTTCACAGCATGTGCCACTAGCCATCTGCGCTAGAAGCAACAGGAGTGTTTGTTTGAAATGCAGATGTTTAAACTCACCCGAGAGCTTCTTAGTGTCTTAAAGGAAGTGGTTGGAAATTTCCTTCCTTAGCAACTTTCCATACACACAATAAAGTTTGAGAAACTTCATTATAGGCCTTTTATAGTAATAAATGCTAAAAAAAAAGTGCTTTAAAAATGAATGGCGAACAGGAATATGCATGCTTACTTGAAACTTATATTAAAATGTATCTGTAGAAATTACATAGCAAGAGTTTATTTCAATGCCCTCAAATAAAAGATTTTATTAATATTTAGTCTACTTAAGGAATTATTTTCATGCTAAAAATTAAACACAAATGAATAATTATGTTTGTTTAGCTATTTTTAAGTACTTGTCAATATTTTAAAAAAAATAGCATAACCCTTCATAGACAGATAAAGTTTAGTTTAACACCCATTTGCCACTGGACTGTCACAAGGTAGTTACTCAGCAGGCTGGATCTTGTGTAACTAGCAAAGAGAAAACATTTTCTTCTCTTAATTGGGTGACCTGCAGCTCAAAGTCAAGAAAATAAGGAAGCAGTAGGTTTTGGATGAATGTCAAGAATTTTGGAGATTGGTAGTCAAGTCCTAAGTGTCTATATAGCAGATGTGTGTATCAAGTCTATATAAATTTGAAAGTCAAAAAAGAGTTAATTAAACCTACATTCTAAGTAATTTTGTATAAGTTCATCTTTACTTTTGATGAAATTGATGAAACAAGTTTTTAAGGCAGACATCATCATTTTGTTAATACCTTGAGAGTAATTGGAAATAGCAATAAATAAACTACATCGATGTTAGTTTTAAAAATGTGGTGGTAGAGATGATCTAAAGAACATATGAGGAGCATGATTAAAATGTAGTCATGTGTGGTCTGGAGGAAATAAAACACACAAGAGTTCAGTCATTTCTTAAGGATGAGTTCTTGACTTTACAAATGTTTCATTAATTCTGTCTCAGCGTGGTAGCAAATTATACTGTGACTTCAACACTGATAATCTAAAGAATATTACTTATAGTTCAGAGGAGCAATGCTAATTCCTACTGCTTCGATACTCTGCTTTCCGTATTCTTATTTTCTTCTATTATCCATTGAAGAGAATGAAATTATCCCATCATTTCCTTTTAATGCATTAATTTAAAATCAAATGCATTAAAAGTGGAAAAATTTATGTCCCCACACTTCTCCAAGTCAATTTAATAAAGAGGTTTAACAACTAAGAGTCTTGACTGTAATTTTGAGAGCAGATGCATAAATGGAAAAAGGAAGGGATGCTGAGGACACCTTCCTGTTGCTTTGAATATATGTAGCCGCACAGAATAAGTTCACAACATCCAAACTAAGTAGATTTTTTTTTTGTTTTTTTTTTTGTCCAAAATATGTCTATTAGTCATGAAACTTCCATTGAATGTATGTGTCATCCAGACTGAGAAGCATGTTTTCCAAGTCTGGTTTTGTAGATTTCTCAGAACCCCTTTTGATCCTTTTAATTTTATTAACTGAGATGGAAACCTCTTGACATCAGAATATTTGCGAAGTTTATTCCATTGAAAGCTCTTAAATACCAAGGGGCTGGTCCAGATTGTCACCTAATGAATAAGAAAATCTTCCAAAGTCCCTAGCACTAGAGGCCATTAGTTGCCATAAAATCAGGAATGATTATATTATCCTTGAAAAAACAAATTAAAACCTTGGTCTATTCTACTATTTTTTCCATTATAAATAGGGACTTTCTGGCAACACTGAAGAAGACTTTGCCAAAAATATTTAATCTGTTATTTCTCGGGCCAGTTTACAGCAAATACAACCTATAGAAAAACAAGTCAAACAACAGAATAAGCAACCAATCAAAAGAAACCAGAAAATAAGACCAATATTTTTTTAAAGGGGAGAGGCAGAGTTAGAGGAAGAGAAACTATAGCAGTTAAAAAGAGATTTTTAGAGACAAGATAGCCATAGGAAGTTGATAGTCTGTGAGTGATCCTGGTGTACATAAAATAGCTATAAACATAGCTCTGGAATAATTAGGAAAATGTATATATGTACTGGGTATTATATGATATTAAGAATTATTAATTTTAAATATTTGATGAAAGCTTAAAAGTTCCATTGTAAAATATTTTAATTTTAAAAGATTTATATCTTACTATTTAATCATACATAATAAAAATTGTCATGATTGTAATTAGCTTTAAAACATCTAAGCAAAAGCAAAAATATGAATAGATTAGACTGATTAATGAAGCAGATTTGGAATGTTTACTGATTATTAAATCTCAATTTTAATTTCATGGTTTTATTATAAAATGTTTTCTTATATGATTTTTAGGAAATTTTCATAATAAATTTAATCATTTAGGACATAGTTGTCTTTCACAACATAACCAATTTTTATTACAATTGTTTGAATGAGAACTGGCCTGAGAGAGAATCTGCAAAGTGCAAGTTTTAATAACAAAAAATACTTAATGTAGTGTTAACAGATCTACATTCAAGTAAAACCATGGGTGAGGTCCGAGTACAATCGCTTTCTCACCCTCAAACCAAGTTCAGTCAAGGACTTTTCAATCAGATTTAAAACAGGAACAATAATCTTTGTCACCTTCCCATGTCAATGGGGTGTTATAATGATGAATGAGCTCCAGGAATAGATTTAGCCTGCTGATGTATTTGTAACCCATATGGCTGCATCACCTTTGACTTTTCTAAGAGGAATAGAAAATAGTCATATTTAGTATTCCACAAATTAAATTTCTGACAAGTTTGGCTTTAAAAACCCCCATTCTCCTATCAACTCAGATATTCATAGGCTGCCAAAGAATCTTCATAAGTTCCCATGTAGGAAACTACTCTGCTAGTGGAAAGTGATTTTGTGTACATTGAAATAAAACTTTTGTTATCTTTAAAAAACCTTTTTTTCTTTTTTTTTTAATAAACAGTATTTTCAAGGTATACTTAATAAACAGTATACTCAATATTTATTAATTCTACATTCACTTGCATGCTACAAAGGAAGATTAATGATAATTTCAGTGAAGATATTTCCTCTACTACCAGAGCGAGATTAATAGGGCTTTTATGTAGAACTTATTGGGATGTGATCATTGTAATCCACTACATAAAGATATACAAGGCAATTTCAAAGACTGCAAATGTTTATGATGTTTATCATTATGCATTTCTTCAGTAACTACCATCTGTTAACATTTAATAAAAATAACTGAGAGAAGAAATAATTTATTTGTACATTTATTGTCTTTGTGTTCATATAACTTCTGTCCTGTGTAAAGGAAAATACCTACAATCCACAAAATTATCATCAAATTATTATGATCATAAAAACAATATGCTATAATAATAGGAATAATAGAAAAGTAGTCAAGATATAAGAAATCTGATCTAATATCCAAAACTAGTGATTGTTAGCACCTTGGACAATTTGTGTTATCCTCTGGAACTATTGGTTTCTTACCAATAAATTGAGTTTTGGACTCCAAATCAACTTACTTTAAAACTTATGAAGCTAATAAAACCAGTTAGAAAGAGTTGGATGATTTGGTGATCATATATAATTATGTAGCTCAAAATAAAATTATGAATAAGGTGAATTTTGTAGCTTAAACTAGAATTTTTGTCAGATTGAACTTACTTTGGATTTCAGGACTATTTTAAGCAATCTTATTAGGAACACAACAGAGGGAGAAGGAACACCATTGATGTTGTCGAGATTTGCCAGATATATGTTCATCATTCTTAAATGTGATGATTGTAAATAAGACTAAGACAAATATTTCATGTGAGATTTATTTATCTTATAGTATATGATTTTTAATTTTTATAATTTTTGAAACTAGAAATTCAAAATGTCACTTAAAAATAATGATTTTCTTTTGCTATATAATTTCTTGTTATCAGGAAAAAATGTAGTTTATTTTGTTAAATTATTTCTTACTGTATTTCATACTTTATGCTTAGAATTCCAAAATGTAATTACAGAAGTTATTATACATTTGTCCAATTAATTATTGATTAATAGTCCTCTCAGGAGACTGGAACTATTTTTTTGCATTTGCAGAATGTTCTTTCTGTAATCTCTACCTATTAATCTGCATTGCATATATATATATATATAGTTACATTTGAAAATTCATATACACTATAGGTTAGTTGAGACTTTTTTTGTATGTTAGTACCATTAGCATTATATTATAATGCCAAAAAATTAAAAATAAAAAAGAATAATGTATAGGGAGTTGAATGAGAAGGTAACTTTAAGATTCAATGGCAAAAAAAGTTATGTTCAGTTTTGTAAGTACAGTCTTTGTGGTTGGATCAATCAGTACATTCAAATATATTGCCTGAAAATTTTAAGTTGCACTTAATCAAATTGGCTGTGGAAACAGCCCTTGAGCAAAATTACATGCAGCTTTTAAAATTAAGGCCTTAAAGCTATAGTGAAAAACAACTAACCTGTAGAGTCTTTAAAACACATCAGCAAAGTAAGGAAATATTTGGCACCTGGGAATTTTCTTTTGGCATTATTAGGGTTACAGATATAGTCAAAGTATTCATGTCAGAAAGGTTTTCAATGAAAATTCCAGATGTTTGACAAATGTGCTGCCTTATAATCCTCTTTAGACATATGCTGTATGCCCATTCTTCCCAATAATTTCTTTTTTAAAAAAATATTTAGGCATCAATAAGTACCTGACTTAATGAATGATGAACATAGCTAGCTTGGATTTTTACACAAAGAAAAACATGGTGAATAGCATATGTCCAGTTGACAATTTTGGAAATAATATTTTCGTCTCTTCTTAGTGATGTATTGTAGTAGAAACCTGTCATTCTTTTGGCTGCTCAGCACCTATTTTTCAAATATTTCTACTTTTGAATATTGGTGAGAAGTAACTCCCCCTCCCAACTTTGAAGTGGAAAATATCTGATATTTGCTTTCCCAGATTCCTCGGTAGACTACAAAACAATGACTACACTTCAGCAATTAGATTCTCCAGACCCAGACTTTTAACCTGAAGTTAGTGAAGCAGGTTGCCAGAAACTTCTCTGTTGGCAATTGCGGGAGATTCAATTCTTGAAACAGCCATGGCTGTGTCGATAACAGTAGCATCCTGAGCCTAGTATTTTCAGTTATTAACAATGCAAGCTGCCTTATCCAGTCCTCAAGGTGACTCAGTTGCACCTTCACTGGTTCTGTAGTATGATTTCCAGAATTGTTCTTGGTTATTTAGCCCTGAGACTTGTTCTTTAGTTTTCTTGGTGTTTGAGGTCATCAGGAGAAGATGCCTCACACATCTCTGACTACAGATAGCTTAGTCAGTCGTGTCCAGTAGTAGTGGCCTAAAATCCATCATTGTGGTGGCATCTGGGCCATGTTTTGCACAAGCTACATCATTCAAGTAACTGAACTCAGCAAGAATACTAAGATGGGTGACCTATATACATAGTCTTTTATATATAGCCTGCCCGAATTTTGTTAGACTAACGCAAAAACCTCCATTCAATATTTCTCTCCTCTTTCCTTCACCAGCCCTCATCTTGCTCCATGGACTGATGGCTCTCCAAACTGACACAGGTCCTTCCCCATTTTCTTTCAAAGTGTGTTTTACCTAGGGAAATTTTATACTTTTAATCATGTCTTGATGGCTGTGTCTTGGAGGGCTGGAACTAACACAGTTATACTGTGAGCTAATACATATTTCTTCAACACATTCCTTTTCTGCTTAAATAAGCCAGAGTTGGTTTTTGTTCCTTTCAGAGCATTGCTCTGAAAGTATGTTAGGAACCCTTAAAAAATTGGAGTTAATTATGTTTAAACAAATCTAGAGTTACTTGCCTTTGCCCTAAGGTTTTATTTGACTCAAATATGTATATTAATATACCTAATAACTTAGTATTTCATTTCACTGAGACATTATTCACTAAAAAATACCCAAATTAAAGACTAAAGTGTTATAAATATTTTTGTCTGTTCTAAATGTAAATATAGTATACAAACACTTGTCAAGGTCCTTTCTGAAAAAAATTGTTAGAATAAAAAGTACATTACTTTTCTATGGTAAGGATGGTTCATAATGGAACAATTATAGATAGTAGGTTAAGTAGAAAAAGTCAAGTATGACAATAAGTACAGTATGTTTTGGTGCTTTTATTGAATACTCTTTGTACATAAAAAATGAACACACTTTATGTATAAATTTAAAGAGTTTTGACATATGAATATATTTGTGTGGCCAATTAAGATGCACAACATTTCTGTCACCTGTAAATACTCTAATGCCCCTTTTAGATTTATCTCCAATTCCCTAGAGCAACCTATAATCTGATTTCCATATATAGTTTACTGATTCAAAAATTCATATAAATAAAATCAATACAACATGCCTTCTTTTGTGTTTGGCTACTTTAGAACAACAAAATACCATTGATATCCATCCATACTGCTGCATACATCAACAGTTGGATCTATTTACTGCTGAATAGTATTATGTACATCATAATTAAAACTGCTGTACACATTCCATGCAAGTGTTTTTTTGGACATGTTTATATTTTTCTTGGGTAATATCTAGGTGTGTGTCCTATGATAGGCAAATTGGTATGTCTTATGATAAATGTACATTTATCTTCATATTAGAAACTACCAATTTCTTTTTCAAAGTTATTGTATAATTTTCTCTCATCTTCCAGTAATGTATGGAAATTGTTTCTTTTCACCATTTTTTCCATGTGTGTTTCCATTTCTGTCTTCTTTTGGATTTATTAAGTATCTTTTTTGTACTTTGTCTCTTTTCTCCTATTATCTTTTTAGTCATTCCCCTTAATATTGTTTATTGATGCTTGTTCTTGGATTTACAATATATATTGTTATCCAGTTGCAGTCTACTTTATAATACCACTCCATGTACAAGGTAAGGTTCTTACAACAGTATAATTACATTTATACTTTTTTCTGTCTTTTGCCATTGTTTTCAGCTATTTCATTTCCTCTCTAGTTTAGGTTTGTATGACCTTTATTGGCCTTTCTTCAGGTTCACTGCTCCTTGAATAAGCAATATGCTGTTAATGCCATCTGTTGAATTTATCTTCTAATTATGCAACCATTATTTTTAGAGTTTTAAAATTTCTTCTGATATTGACTAACTTTTCACACTTTCCCTCCATTTGATTATAGAATCTTCAACATATTTATAATTGCTATTTTATAGCTCTTTTTTCTATTTCTAAAATCAGAATCATTTGTTGGTCTCCTTTAATTTTTTAATTTATTTTTTTCTTGGCATGGGTCACATGTTCTTGTTTCTTTACTCATAATTTTTGCTTGCATACTGGCTATTTTGGCATACGTTGTATATTCTTAATTCTCTTGTTCACTTCTGAATAGTGCTGAAGTTTGTTCTAGAAGTTAAATGACTGTTGGATCATTTTCAGGGTCTGTAGACTGGGTTGTACGTTTCATTCGGGAATGGCTATTTTAGTTTTGAAAGCGATATTGTGATGCAATATTTACTCCTGTGGCATAACCCTTCTGTAATGTCAGTGGAGTCCCTGACATATTTACCAACTTTTCTAACATATGCTATTTGAACTCAAACTCTGGCTCCCTTGCTATGAACAGAAGCTAAAATTCCTGCTTATCTCTTTCGGTTTTCAAGCTATTGTTTTTTCTTGGTTACATGGAGACTAG